TGAATTTAGAAAAACTGGTTCTGCTGCAAACAGGTAGAGAAACATGATTAGACTTTTTACCTACATTAACACTATTTTTCTATTCCTTTTTATGGAAAAGCATGACCCTTGAGGATATTTTGCACTGAAAAAAAACCCAGACCATTTATTTAAGTCTACTAAATGTGTTAGGCTGACAAGTTTACATACACTTCACCTTTACTGAGGTTGCATTCACTAGTATGAACTCAACCACCATTAATGTAGATGCCCTCACTATTTGAGTATGATGCCAAGTCACAGTTCAGCAACACTCAACACATTATTTGGAAGATGTATTTTCAAATAAGAAAACTTTACTTAAGGTTTAGGGCAGCTTATTAGTTCAGACATGAGATATTAATCTTGTAAATGTTCCTCAAAAGTTCAGGATCTCTGTTAGGTTTACCTAACTGTATCAGTCACCATTACAAACGAATCCACATAGAGAGAAAAATCGAAGTTAATATAGCATGGATTGTTGTATTTTATTTATCTTATTTTTAAAAAAATTCATTGATTAATTGTTCAGAAGACGGGTGGAAGTTATTCGGGCAGGTGACACAGGAAACGTATGGGGAAGGTGAGGAGGGACACACAGGACATGCTACAATGCAGTCAACGAATCCGGCTGAAACATCCTAGCTCACAATCTGCCAAGTCAAGGGTGAAACATGACATCAACATGCTGTAGTGTATGCTTTGAGGCACTAACTTTTTTCTCCCCCCACTCTCACTTGGAAGCATTCTGAAACACTTAGAACCTTAAATCAATCTCCTGTTGTGTGACCTCTTTAACTCCTGCTGACTATGTGACCCTAGAGGAAGAGGGGTCAGTGGAATTATGCGCTGCAGTCCATGAACACAGCTGCAGACATCAGTACCAAAAAGGCAGGGCCAGGGGAAGAAAAGGGAAAAAGAGCGAGCTCAAAAGACAATCTCTCACCAAACAAGAAAGATGCAATGGGTTTGCCATAGCTCTGTTATTGTGGCTGATGAGGGAGCCAGTAATGAAGTGAATTACTTGCTAAAATTTGTCAAAAAACCCACTTTTTTTTTGTTTAAGTTCTGAATGAAAAAAAAAAAAAGTAACTCCCCACCCATACTCTATGTTTTCTTGTTTGTTTAAAGGCCTTATTCCCAAGGCTAGTAGATGAGCATATCTGCATACCAGGAGCCACAACACCGTGCAGAGGCACACTGAAGTGTAGTCTGTACAATTAAATTGCTACATACGCACAAATACACAGAGGATCTCTTTGGGAAACTATGGCAACCGCTAGTCCACCAAGTTGTGGTTATCCCTTTGTCCCCCCCTTTCTTTGCTCTTCTAGTCCTTCCCGACTTGGAGAAGCAAAAGAATAAATAGAAGCATTAATGAGGTCGGGATTGGACCTGCAACAAAGGAGCTGGAAAAGCAAAGAGACCCACTCACAAGCTTGAATCTGGAAATATTCTAAAGGAAACAAACTTTTCAGTGGAACTGTACAACAGGGATGAATGGGATATAGGCAGCGTGAGCCTGGGATACAAAGCCTTGCCTAGGAAACTGGGGTTAGAGTGCCCATAATGCCATTGAATCACTTGCTGGAGCACTGTCACAACTGACCTTTAATTTGGATGCCTCATGTCTTTTTGTCCAGCTGAGATACTTAAGGCCTGAATTTCAGAATTGCTGAGCAACCTCAGCTCCCAGTTGTTTTCTCACTGGAGTACTCATCAGCCAAATATTTCGAAATTGCTCGTAAGTATTTAAAAATAGCAAGGCTACTATCCAAGTATCAAATTATGTGTACCTCTTTTTCTCTCCTAAATCAAACTTTCAAAGTCTCTCAGGCCCTCTGTGAGGGCTATTGATGCTTATGAAGTCCTCTGGCATCCTCAAATGGAGAGCCTCGTAGAACTGCAAAGCATTCCTTCTTTTCATGTTTATTTTTAGCATCAGAGAGAAGGGCCTTCTCGTGTAATGTAATGTGTATTGACATTTAGAACAAAATGCCATGGGCTGATATTAAAGAACAGTAGAATTTTTCACTTCGTATAAGTCCGAACTATGTTTTTTGCACAATTTTTCAAACAGCATTTGCACAGAAGTTTGTGGTGTAACAACAGGTCTTTTCTCTCTCAATTCTGTGTCACATTTAACTTCCCCTCTTGATCAATATTACAAGAAAGTTAACCCCAAAACAAAAGGAATCACACTTCAGTACTGACTGCAGAGGAAGATTATTAAGTGAATACAGCTTTTTTCCCTTGTGAACCTGGGAAAATGCTGTCTTTTCTACAAGGAGGATGTCAATTTGTATATATTTGACAATGTGTGATTTCAGAAATACATGTGTAAACATGCATACAGAGACATCTGTCTTTTCACTCTCTTGAAATCTAAATGTACAAGAGAAACTCAAATGGCCGCATTCCAGTTGTACTGAAGACCTTTCACCTCCACTTTTCAGTCACTTAAATTTGGTTTATTTCTAATCTTCTCTGGAGCCTTAGACAGCAACTGACTCAGTATGAAGATCCCTATAGACAAGCTTATGTGCACACTGGGAGAAGCAAATCAAAACTCTGTCCACCAAGTCCACCTATCCAGCCTTAAGGCCACTACTGGAAATGCAGAATCTCTTTAAAACAGAGAGAGACTGACCCATCTTCCAGCCCTTTTTTCAATGCACCATCAGGCAGTTCATCGTGTTTCCACACAGTTTGTACTTTTTTTCCCCCTGACTCCTTGATGTGATACATGCCAAGATGCTGGAGACTCCCTGCTCCTCCAAGGTGAGGATGTTGCCCTGCATTGTAGTTATCACTACTCTCATGTGCTGCCAGCTGCTATTGCTCCTGCTGGTTTCTGTTCATTTGGTTTAATTTTGCATTAAATTTTGCCATTCAAAAATGTTATTTAGCACATGCTTTAAAGAAATACCGCCCCACTCTTCCGACAGGCAATTGGTATCAATGGTGAGGAGTAGTTCTCCTACCACGGCTGCCTTAGTTTAATCCAAAGAAGAATACAGATAGAGCAGAATTCAAAGCAAAATAAATTCTTTTGGGAGATGCAATGCTCTCAAGGTTTAATCCTAACTCTGACCTGAATTTTATTAGTAGTTACAGGCAAACTGCTCAGACATCTTTTGCATGTGAGACAACCACAGTATTTTGAGGCAGCAAGGAGCCTGAAATGCAGTGACCTGCTTTTATCATTTGTTGTGAGATATATCAATATCATAATTATAAAACTTAATTTGGTTTCTCCCTGTCCTGTTCTCAGCCTGTCTCCATACCGTTTTCTATTCTATTTCCTCTAATCTCTGCATTTCCTGCTAAATGCATGCAGCATCCACAAGACGACACATGTCTCAGCCTTTGGAACAAGAATATTGTGGAAATGAAAGAGCATTTAGAAAAAGAGAACTACCTTCAAAGTTTGCTTTTGTTATCAACCTTACTTCTTTTATATCATTGTACGTCATTTGTATCAACTGACCTGGTTAAGCCCAAGAACGCATCCATGGAGGACAGCTGACAGCAAATCCTCTAAAACAGAGGGGACCGAACTACCGCTACTGCCCTGTGTGTGACTGAGTAGCAGTTTGAAAAAGGATCCTGTGCCAGGGTTACTTTATGCCAACGTCAGAGCTATGCTGGGGATTATTTGCATTTCCAGTTACAGGAGAAAACGAGCCAGCAGATACTACTGAGATATAGAATTGCATCCTCTTGTATTGCGACCCAGATCTTTCCCCAAAACAGAGTGCCAGTGGCCTGATCTCACCCTGAGCCTTCTTTTCTGCCCCTGGACTCTCAGGACACACTGTAGGTGTTCAGTGCTTCTTAGAAGGTCTGGTGTGTGGTTTGGAAAGTCAGATAGGCTGGTCACCCTGCTGTAGTCC